TCACTGAATCTGTCCAGAAATTTACCTCTGCTTAGCCACCTGACGTCTTATGTGCAGCAGCAGGTCTGTGTGGTCTGCTCCTGCCTCCTCCAAGTGAGCCTGGAACAACCTCCTCTGCAGACTCCTGGCCCTTATAGAGCACACAGTTTTCATGGCAACATCCATCACTTCCTTCATGTTTAAAATCTTCCCACACAGGGCCTGTTGGTGGATGATGCAGTGATAGTGCAAAATGTCTGGGAAAGCATCATTCTGCTTGCAGAGTGCAACAAATCCACTGGTGTGACCAGTCATTGCTGGAGCGCCATCAGTTGTTATAGAAATTAGTTTAAAGAGGGGCAAGTTGCTTTTATTAACAAACTCCATAAACGCATTAAAAATATCTTCTCCTCTTGTGTGTCCCTTCAAAGGCAAGATGGTGAGCAGCTCCTCTTTTGCACTCATGTCTGCAAAGGCCATTCTGATAAAAACACACAGCTGGGCTACATCCACCATGTCTGTCGACTCATCAAACTGAAGAGAGAAACACTCACATTGTTCCACGTCCTTTTTTAGCTGCTCCTCCACATCCACAGCCATTCCCTCACATCGCCGTGTCACTGTTTGTCTGGACAACTGCACGTCTTTAATTGCAGCTACGATCTCACTTTTATTTTTAAAATCATGAAAAAGCACATCTGCAGCCTCAATAAACGCTTCTTTCATAACTTGTCCATCGCTGAAAGACTTCTTATGTTGAGCCAGGATGCGGCTAACATGGTAGGAAGCTATCGTAGCAGCTTTACCTTTTGTGCTGGGCCGAGTGAAGACTGATTGCTGGGCTGCAAGCTTGTTTTTTAGCTCCCGCACTTTCTGAGTCCGTAAAGAACTTTTAAGAGGGAAATCTGTCTCAAACCGTTTGTGCATCGTCTTGAAATGCCGCTCCAAGTTACACTTTTTGGGTAAGGCAACGCTCGAATTACAGATGAGGCAAATGGACTTCGAATTAGAATAAACAAAAAAATACTCCTCCTCCCACTCTGTGTGAAAATAATAAGTTTTCGTTTGCTTGTTCGCTAGTTTTCCATCCATGTTTTCTGCGCACCAACATTACTCCACTACTGAGCCTAAAGTCTCGTGAGAGCGCTGTGTCACCGCACCCAAAACTCGCAAGACTATGTCTGTGAGAATACAAGTCAAGGTTTCGCTTCGCGGGCGACTGGGAACCAGCTCGCGGGCGACTGGGAACCAGCTCGCGGGCGACTGGGAACCAGCTCGCGGGCGACTGGTTGGGCACACCAGGTCAGAGTGATGTTAAAAATGCCAAGTCAATGTGTACATTTAAGAAAAAGATGAAAGCTAAATTGTTAAAAATATATATATGAAGTAGCTTAGTGTGTTTTTGTATTAGAATTAGAAAAATTAGAAAGAGTTATTCAATTTGTTCAGTCATTTGTTCTTGTCAATTTGTTCTGTCACAGCCCCCTGTGAATAGTAAACAGCCATCAGGGTGCTAATGATCCATCGTTAGGCTGATGGTTCTTCTTGACCATGTGAGCAGCTGGTTTTGGTTGTCAGCAGCAAAACTGGTTGATCCACTCTGAGAAGGTGCTATTTATAAGACTGAGCTGAATACAGCACCTCAGACTGAGGAAGTCTTTCGGGTGGAAGACGAAACGTTTCTACATTTATTTATTTTTTGTTTTGCTTAGTTTTGTCTTTTGAATGTCCAGAGGACCAGATTTAACTCTTTTAGATATAAGCTGTAATAATCTCCTCTCAAGTACAATTTGTACAAATATATGCATGCATGTCCAAAAAGGCAACTTGAGGTAAGTTTTATTAATGTTGGATAAGTTTTAAAGTTAAAATTAAATTCTGCTAACACAAAACAGGTTTCTTTTTATTCCTAGCTTTAAAGTGGATATTAAAGTTATTAATTTAAGTGATTGTTTAAAGTTATTTTATATATTTTTTTAAATAAGTGGCAGATATAAGATTTTTCTTCTTTCTGACCTTTTTTCATTTAATGTTTTCTTTTTGATGAATTTGTTTTGTTTCTTTTAAATTAATGAATTAAATAAAATAAAATGTTAAATGGCTTTAAACATCTGCTAAGTTCATGGCATAAACCAACAAACATGTTCCTGTTTTTAGTTATGTACATCACTTTATAATGTAGCTGTTTTTTTTTAATATATATAATTTTCTTGTAATTTTCAAATCAAATTTTTTTATGATTGTCTACTGTTGTACTGATATCTCCTGGAGGGTAAACTACATCTTGGCTGCAAGTATCAAGCTGAGAAATCCTTCATTTTCTACAACTGATATCGGTTGGTGGGCAGCACGGTGGCGCAACTGGTAGAGTTGCTGCCTCTCAGCGAGCAGGTCCCTGGTTCAAACCCCGGTCCAGGGGCCTTCTGGGTGGAGTTTGCATGTTCTCTCCGTGCATGCGTGGGTTTTCTCCGGGTGCTCCGGTTTCCTCCCACAGACCAAAAACATGCATGTTAGGCTGATTGGTAACTCTAAATTGTCCCTAGGTGTGAGTGACAGAGTGAATGGTTGTTTGTCTTGTTTGTCTCTATGTGGCCCTGTGATGGACTTGCGACCCGTCCAGGGTGTACCCCGCCCCTCGCACAGTGATTGCTGGACATGGGCACCAGCGACCCCCGTGACCCAAAATGGAATAAGCGGGTAAAGATAATGGATGGATGGATGGATGGATATCGGTTGGTCATTAATTATGATGAAGTTTAGCAACTTCTCTGTAAACATTCGAGCTTCGTGGCTTCAGCGATGTCTTCTTCTTGTTCAATCCAAAGCACGCAGCCTGATTTCGGTCAGCCGCGCTCAGTCTGCCCCTCCTCAGAGACGGGCAGATTGAGTGGGGCAGATTGAACGTGGCTGGCCGGGGTCGAGTTGCCTGTTTTGGGTTGAGCAAAGAGTAGCGCCCCGCTGAAGCCCCAGACCTCGAATGTCCAACGTAAAACTAACTTTACCGCAGTTTAATGTGGTGCTATGGCTCTACAGACATTGCACGTTGTTGTCTTGCTTTGTGGTGTTTCTAGTGTAAAATACTTCCACACAGCGGACATGTTTAGATGAAAAGTTGGTTAGCTGTTAGCCACAGTGCTGCTAACTCAGTCCTCACGTTGTAGCTTGTTGCAAACTATGAAATGGATTTCCTGAATGTGAGGTGGGTCTGGGCTCATGAGACACGCTTCGTTCAGAAAATCCATTCCATAGTTTGAAGCCAACTTGCATCATGGATCGGAAATCTCAAAAGGTTGGATCGGAAAAATTAGATACGTAAATTATGCTGGTATCGGAGGCCGATACGGATACTGGATCGGATTGGTCCCATCTCTACTACTCAAGACACTATTTTGTCAAGTGAACTGTACCAAAATGTTTCCAAAAGGATGCAGAGTTCTTGTGCTCGACCCAAAGCGAAGACTGGAATGAGAACCTGGAATGTATAAAAGAACACAGGTTAGTCAGCATAAATAAATAAACAAACAAACAAACACACACACACACACACCACTGGTCTTTCAATTTTGTCGTCTTTCAACCTGGATTTTCCGTTCGACTATAACGAATGAACCTACACAAAACATTTGAGATTAATAAAATTTACATTTGAGATTTGAAAATGTCTAAAACTCCTCAAACACAAGAGTTGTGTGTAAATATTTTCATCCACATCACTGTGAAGTCCCAGCCTTTACCTTCAGAGGCTGCTGTGGTCAGTCGAGAACAGAATTAACACCATGCCTGGGACAAATCTACCACCTCTCATCATGACAACAGACCTACATAGAAGCATGGTGGTGGTAGCATCATGCTGTGGGGATGTTTATCAGCAGCAGGGACTGGGAAACTGGTCGAAACTGGTCGGAGTGGAAGGAATGATGAATGATGCCAACAAGGATTAATAAAGCAGACACATATCTTTAGACTGAAACTTCTTCTACACCTTGAGGTTACTCGGTGCCGTTAAACAACGTTCCCTCTTTTAGTTATTATTGTTTAATTACAAGAACTGAAGCAGTAGACAGTCTGTCTCATTGTGAGACTCAAGCTGTGTGCTCTCTTTCGGACCTGCTGGAGTTTGGTCCTGCACAAGTTGGACAGGTCTGTACGATGACGATGCTCTGAACACATTAACATTTAATACAAAGTTAGATTTTAGATACTAAAGTTACCTAAGTGAGAGAGAGAGTGAATGGTTGTTTGTCTCGTTTGTCTCTATGTGTCCCTGTGATGGACTGGAGATCTGTCCAGGGTGTCCCTGTGATGGACTGGAGACGTGTCCATGCTGTCCCTATGATGGACTGCAGAGACCTGTCCAGGGTGTCCCTGTGATGGACTGGAGACCTGTCCAGGGTCTCCTGCGGGTAAGCAGGTAAAGATAATGGATGGATGGATGGATGGATGTTACAGTGAGGTTGGGGCGCGGTGTGGGAGGAGGGGGTGATGGTGTTTCAGTTCTGGTATCTCCCCCCAGCTGCAGTGAATTGGTCCCATGTGAACGCACGTTTAATAATTTATGTCATCACCTTCAAAGGGGAGCAGCACGGTGGCGCAACTGGTAGAGCTGCTGCCTCTCAGCGAGCAGGTCCTTGGTTCAAACCCCGGTCCAGGGGCCTTCTGGGTGGAGTTTGCACGTTCTCTCCGTGCATGCGTGGGTTTTCTCTGGGTACTCCGGTTTCCTCCCACAGACCAAAAACATGCATGTTAGGCTGATTGGTAACTCTAAATTGTCCCTAGGTGTGAGAGTGAATGGTTGTTTGTCTCGTTTGTCTCTATGTGGCCCTGTGACGGACTTGCGACCTGTCCAGGGTGTACCCCGTCCCTCGCACAGTGATTGCTGGACATGGGTACCAGCGACCCCCGTGACCCAAAATGGAATAAGCGGGTAAAGATAATGGATGGATGGACCTTCATGGGGGCGGGGGTTCTGTTAGTGTAGTGAGGTGTCCTCCTTGAAAAATGGTCCAGGAAACACTGACTGGTGCTCTCACCTGCTGTCTGTCTCTAAGTTGAGAACACTGGGATCACTCACCGTGTATCAGACAGCATGACCCGCCCTGCTCTGCTCTAATCTCTGTATCATTATTAGATTGGATGACTTTAAAAAGACCACTACACCCCCCCCCCCCCCCCCCCACACACACACACACACACACACACACACACACCTTCATTTTTTACAGATGATGGAAATTAGTCGAAGCTGATGTTTAAACAGATGGACAAGTTTAATCCCTGTGCTAAATACAAAATCTTGAGGGAAACCTGCTGAGTCTTCCAGAGATTTGAGACTGAGATGGGGGGCCATCTTCCACCAGGACAAAGACTAAACTCACTGCTGCAGCAACACTCCGGTGGTTTCAGGAGGACTAGTTGTTAAACAGCTCAGTCAAAGCCCAGACCTCGATCTGAGAATCTCTGGTTTGATTTAAAGCTTGGTGGACACGAGCAGCATCCGTCCAACCTGAAGCTGTCTGATCATGACGAATGGACAAAACGTCCCGGTTAGATGAATCAAAATCATGGAGACGTACCTTAGATTCTGTTCTGACTTTACACAAAACAACAACTTTATATTTGTTAAACTTTTATTTTAAAACATTTTTAACTTTAGTAACTTAGAGCTTCTTGTGTAGCTTCATTAGCTTTAATTAAATTGAAAATCCATTTAAATTCCAGGTTGTAGAGGAAACAAAATTAAATCTTTCTGGGATGGGGGTGAATATTTTGGCAATGGCAACCCACAGTAAAATGTGAAATTAGACCATCTTTACATATTTACCTTTCCTCCTCGTTCTATAGATTCATGCACCTTCTTCAGAAAGTCTCTTTCTCTGCATCTTTTCGAGTCCCGGATGGTTGTGGCATATGTAGACTCTGATATCAGGATGTCTGGACGGCACTTATCTATCCACGCAGCA